TTACTCCAAATATGAGGAAAACTTATTTGCGTTGATACTCAGATTTCTGGCCAGCATCTCAGTTTTGCAAGAAATCACACCTATGGAGCGGCACTTAAAATTCTGCTTTTTATACTTGTCATACATGCAACAGCTTCTACTGATGGCATTTTAGCATCTTTATACATAATATTTACCACTGCAAATTTATAATTCTATAAATTAGTATGCGGTGTAATTTATTTTTTATTCACTGAAACATGCTTATCATAGTTGCGTCAGTGTGATAATCTGATTTAAGTCTAGAATAAATCTTAATTCCATGTGATTATTTCTAACTTTTCAGGCAGGTTGATATCTCCTGTGGTTGAACAGATGAGCAAAGAACTTCCACATGTCACAACATACAAACTTGACATCGATCAGGTAAGAAGCATAAACCTGTTTCTGCTTTGTTTATAATCAGAGAGGTATATCTGTGATTTTTGCTTAAGTTTTTCTTGTTTAAACTTAGAATTTGTTGAAATCATATATAAATAGATAAGGTAACTTGTCTCTTTATTATTTTTACTATTTTATATATGAAAGTTGTCATTTAGTGTCAGTCGTAAACTGTTTTTTCAATTAGCTGCAGTTGTCCCAAACAAAACCTTAGACTGATTGGATTCAGTTTTTTCTGATTTTTTATATTTTGGAAAATTTTTCTCTGATTTGTTCTCTTTGGAGTGTTGTAATCTATTACTTCAGCAAGTGGTGTGCCGGTAGCTTGCCTAGGAATAAGTGTGTGGATCCTCCTCGTATCTCGTCGTTCTTTGTTCGCCGTCCGCCATTCTATCTGCTGTTTTCAGCCGGGCATTTTTTTTTTGTTCTGTTATACCTTGTAGGAATCCTAGAACGGTATCACTTGGGGTGGCTGTATGTTAAGGGCGTGTGCACTGAAGGTGTAACGCATTGTACTTGATCAATTCATACTAAAATTGGTTTAGTGGCATAACACGTGATTGAGTGCTCTCAAAGACATCACTACTTCAATGTCTCTCACTCAAAGGGAATTAGTATAACTAATTTGGTTGTCCAAGTTAAGGTCAGGCTCACTCAAAGCGCCTTAGGGCAAATAGGGCAAATCACAAATGTTGTATGCCGTTAGGCATCTTTGTTATGCGACTCAATTTCAGAGGTTTATTTCTTGTTGAAGAGATTATCATTCATATGATTGAGGTAGATCATTATTAAACCAAGCTTACTTTTATATATGGCCTTGATCACAAGGTAAAGTGGTGTTCATTTTAGTGTGTAGGGTTCACCTAAACAGGCAAATCCAATATGTAGAATGTTGGGTTTACTTATAATTAAGATTCATTCCATCACCATGTCTACTTCTCAGGCATAATTTATTTTTAGGCATTCTTTAAAATTATATATGAATTAGGGCTATAGATGGTGAGATTTTGAGCCTAGCCAGTGTCAGATCAAAATTGTATCATTTGAAAGTTGTGTGGCTTGGAATCGGACGTCAATAAATATGATTTCAAACCAACTGAATTAAATATGTGCTATTTTGAAGTAGCTCATATTGAGATTGAACTTGCTTTAATTTAACAGTATAATAAATTTATTTAAATAAAAAATAAAATTTCATCAAAATAAAAAAAAAATGTAAGTTTTTATTATAATTTATAAAACAGACAAAATTTAAAGTTAAAGTCAAATGAATGATTAAAAGTTTATAATTACAATTTCACCATCCTTTTTTAATTATAATTATATGAACGAACACATTACACGTTAAATTTACAATATTGACACTGCATAAGTTACAATATGCAAGCTAATTTCTCCATCCACTTGAAAAATCTTACACAACCTGGGAAACATTATATATTAAGTTACCTCAATAAAAACAGTGGTAAATTAATTTTGAGGTTTTAGTTTCGTAATTCGAGCTTTAGAAACTGAGGTGACATATGGTTGATATTTTTGGAAACAAAACCGAAACAAATAATAATCCTAGTGTCTCCAAATAGAAATTTGCAACAATAAAATTCAGATCATAAAAACAATACTATAATTCAATAAACTAAGATGCAATCCTACAATTTAAATGCTATTAAGCAATCCGACTTTCACAGCAAATTTAACAATTCAACAACATAACAAAAACAATGAGCTTAACAAAATTAAACTTCAAACTACGGATTGAATTTATCAAACATGTAATCCAACAATATGAATTCCAAAATTGCATTGTTTTGAATAGAGGAAAATCATCAAACAAACTTATGGTGCGAAATTAGCAAATAAGCAATTCAAAAATACATATTCAATATTTTGAATTAACAAAATTGATTCTAGCTAATTATGAACCGAAAGCAAATTTTGGCCTTAAAGTCCTAAACTAGTTGTATAGAACTATTGGCAATTTGAAATAACAATAGCAATTCTGAGCAAAAGCGATCCAACAAATAGAGTGACAGAAAATTATGGCATAAATATTTCATTGGGCTAAGTGTTGGATTTCACTTCTTTACCAAGTACCACCAGTCATTTTTTGCCTCATATACTCTTCTCATGCATATTTTATCATTGGGCATATAATCGAATGTAGAAACCTCAATAGAACTTTGAAATAATGACAATTATTAATTAGCCAGTCGGATGTAAATTGCATTTTAACCAATTACTAATTAACCAACAGTTGTTCCCCCAGTTTTCATCTATAATATCCATTCATCTAATACATCATATAAGCTCACACTAAAAGTATGAGTTTTAAACCAACAATAAATTGTTCGAGTACCAGAGTTCTAAAGTTCAGTTGCAATACTCCATCAGTGCATAAAAAATGCTGGATTCAATAGTCAAGCTTTTAAGAATACTATCTAATAGGCTCTCATAAAGAAGAATATCTTAGGAAATAGAAACTAAATATTAAATACTAGATGCAATAGAAAATAGATGAGATTATGAGTATTGTGAAATCTACTTTTGGATCTTGGGATGATTTGAAAGTTGATTGAATTTAATTTTCAGATCAAGCCAATGTATCAAATTTTTCTGATGAAATTAAGCTATTGTTGTGATCTGTACGGTAAAATTATCTTCAGCTATTTTTGAAATAGTTTTGTACTACATGGATGTAATTTTCCACTTTTCAATTATATGATATTCGGAATCAGGTACTTAGCACAAGCTATTTTCAAGAGCACATTCACTTCAGTTTTTTGTGAGGCTAAAATTCCATTTTAATCTATGCAACCATACAATTGAAAAATGGCTTGAACTAAATTTTAATTGGTTTGTGGTTTCAATGATGTGCCAGCTTGAGAAATAGATTCTTCATTAATATCCCTCCAAACATGCTTGTTAATAACATAAAATGCCAACATCATAAATTTGTGGTTTGTAGTATGTGATGGTAAAATATTTTCATCCAAGGATCTAATTATATGGAATAAAAAAGAGAGAATAATCTGATCAATATTTAGCAAAATTAACTTTCATGAGTAGGCATTTTAAGATTCATCTTACAAAGAGTTTCTATTTTAAGATTCAACATACAAAATTCTGCTTTTAGTGATCTTTATAATAGATTAGATACTAAGAAGGGTGAAAAATATATGTATAAACTAGCCAAACAAATAAAAAAGAAAAGTAAAGATTTAACTCGAGTAAAGATTTAATTTAAAGATGAAAATCAAAAAGTGCTTTTCTTAGAAATTTTAGTTTCTTAGAAAAAGATATTCAACATAGGTGGATGATTTATTTAGATACATTTTTTAGTGAAGCTTCTGGAAATACGATCGACCTTAATGATTTTAATATCGTTAATAATAATAAAATGTTTCATTTTTACCGGCGCACTAGTAAAAAAAAAGTTGAGGAGGCTTTAATGAAAACCAAGGGTGGAAATTCTGTAGGACCTGATGATATCCCAATTGAAGTGTGGAAATATTTAGGAGATTTGGGAGTTTCTTGGCTTACTAAACTCTTTAATATTATTTTAAATACTAAAAAGATGCCTGAGGAGTGTAGGAAGAGTATTTTCGTCCCATTTTTAAGAATAAAGGGGATACACAAGAGTGTGCAAATTATAGAGGAATTAAGTTGATTTGTCTTACTTTAAAATTATGGAAGAGGTAATTGAACATAGGTTAATACATATTACTAAGATTTCTTATAATCAATTTGGATTTATGTCGGGCAGGTCTACCATGGAAGTTATATATTTATTGAAAGATTTGATGGAGAAGTTTAGAGATAATAAGGAGGATCTACATTTGATTTTTTATTGATTTAGAAAATGCTTGCGATAAGGTTCCAAGAGATATCCGTTGAAGAATTCTTGAGAAGAAAGGTGTTGATATGGCTTATATTCAACTCATTAAAGATATGTATGTTAGAGCTATTACTTGTGTTCGAACTCAAGGAGGATTGATCAAATATTTTCCTATTTATGTTGGATTACATTAGGGATCTGTTTTAAGCCGACATCTTTTTGCTTTAGTTTTGGATGGTCTTACTGGACATTTACTGGTGGATGTATCTTGGTTTATGTTTTTTGCTAATGATATCCTTCTCGTGGATAAGATGGAGAGAAAAAGACCTGAAAAAGCTTGAATTATGGAGGTCTTCATTGGAGTCTAAAGGCATTCATTTGAGTAGAAATGAAATTGAATACATGGAATGTAATTTAAGTAGTAGTAGCTCTAGTGACAGAAGT